CTCAAATACAGCTCTAGCCGAACTCAATATCTAATGCGATTGGATATAAGATTTTATCAAAATAATTTGTCTCGTCTGAATTCGAGTATAACTGAGGAGTGTGTGCGTGAATGACGTTTTAAATTTAGCAATTCACTAATCATAGTCCAAATAGTACAAAAATAAATACAAGAAAGAGCAGAGTATAAAAAAAGTCGTAATATGGCGCCGTAAAGTCTATAGAAATTAGAGATTGTGAGATGAAATAGGAGCAAATAGATTTGCTGGAAAGTTAATAATTACATTTTAATTCGGTCACTTTTGAGATGTTAATATTAGAAAATCGACATATATATATGACATTTTGTACAAAATATAAATACTGCAGAATAGATTTTTGAGAGGATAATTATAGCGCCAACTTACAAAATAAGCACGCGTATAGTCACAGCTGGAATAGAGGATTTTTGGAAAAGGCTTCTATTTTGTCATAACTACATGATGTTAGCAGAAATGAAGAAAAGGCAGATGACATGGAAAGGTTTTATGAGTCAAATGAAGACAAAGACCACATGTCGATGCAATCTCATGTGGTTCCAAGAACTCAAGTTCACACTTTTAATTCATCACAGCCGTAGATTATAGATATCTTATCCATCATTTTTTTTTGGTACAATATCTTATCCATCATTGATTGTAATATAAATATGTACATAGCATTTGTGCTGAAACCTAAGAATCATTCACGTGAACAGTGCGGTTGCTACATTCTTTCTTGAGATCTGAGTTATCAATCATGTTTCTATCTCGAAATTTTCGATGTGTTTTTCTATTATAGTATCAGAGCAGGTGATTCCTGCCTCTCATTATCATTCTTCTTCCATTTTTGTTTTTCTTCTCTCTACTTCATCATGAGTCAAACCAGTAGCTCCATGGGAACAACAAATCCCAACAATGCGGCTTTCGGGTCTTTGATTCAACCCAACAGTCAACTCATATCAACAAAGCTGGATGAAACCAATTATTTGATATGGAAGCAACAGGTCATCACAGCTATTCGAGGCTATGGAGTTGAGGGATACATCAATGGTGAAGCAAAGAAACCAAACAAGCTGGTCACCGATCCAGAAACAAATGACAGCCAAATCAACCCTGAATATGTGTTTTGGGTAAGACAAGATCAACTCTTAGCATCTTGGTTAATGTCTTCCCTTAGTGATGGAATTCTCATAATGATGGTTGGTCTAGAAACTGCACAACAAATCTGGAAAGCTATTGAGAGCAATATTGCTAGTCAGTCATCTGCAAGAATTATGCAATACAAGCTGAAATTGCAAATGAAAAAGGCAGGATTATCCATGAGAGAGCACTTAAACAAAATAAAAAACCACTGTGATTTCCTAGCCATTGCAGGAGAAAAGATTTCAGAACAAAACCACATCCTTCACATTCTGACTGGCCTAGGGTCTGAGTATGATTCAATGATAGTTAATGTCACCTCAAGATTTCCTTCTCTCACTTTGTCTGAAGTGCATGCCCTTTTGCTCACATATATATGAATCCAGACTAGAAATGAACCAAGGCACTATTGTGAGCTCTGAAGGTTCTCAACCTTATGCAAATGTGGTTACCCAGAACACTCAGAGGACTACAATCAAAATTTCAACCAGTTCAGGGGAAACAAAAATACAAATCAAGGTGGGAGAGGAGGAAGACCCCCTTTCAGAGGAAGAGGTAGAGGAAGAAACCAAGGCAACAGACCTCAATGCCAAATTTTCCATGGAATGAATCACACAGCAGACAAATGGTGGTACAAATATGAACCTCCAAGCATCAACAACAACTCAAATGCAAGTCAAGGGCAACAGACTCCAAGGAGAAATCCCAGCCTCAACATGGTGCAAGTGCATGGTGGAAATACCTATTCTGATATAGGTTCAGAGACCAGCTGATTTCCTGATTCAGGGGCTTCTAACCATGTCACACATGAGTTGGAGAACTTAAACATTGCAAGTGAGTACAATGGAAGCAGCAAGCTGTTAATGGGGAATGGAGAAGGAGCATCTATTTTCCACTATGGTAATTCTGTTATTCAGCTTCCTGAGCATACAAAAATATACATCCTGAAAAATCTCCTGCATGTTCCTAAAATTAGTAGAAATCTCTTCAGTGTGTCTCAATTTGCAAGGGACAATAAAGTGTTTTTGAATTTCACCCAAGTGTATGTTTTGTAAAGGACCAGGAAACCCAAGAAGTCCTGCTCAAGAGAACTCTTAAAGAAGGACTCTATCACTTTAATCTACAATGCTTGAAGAACAATCTCTCTCAGCCTCTAACTCCCCACTTAGCAGTTGACATCAAACAAGCTCTTGGTACTCAACCTTTTTCTTATTTTTCTAGGATTGGCAAATGTAATAGTCTTGACCTTTGGCATCAAAGACTGGGGCACACAAACTATGATAATGTTAAGAGAGCCTTGAAATTATGTAATTTGGATTATGATGCTAATTCTGACAATCAATTATGTGGTTCTTGCATGATGGCCAAAAGCCACTCCTTTTCTTTTGACCATTCTGAGCATGTGTGTTCTTATCCTCTTGAATTGATTCATAGTGATGTATGGGGGCCATGTCATGTTAAGGCATTGAATGGTTATGCTTATTATATGAGTTTCATAGATCATTATTCAAGGTTTGTGTGGATATACTTGTTAAAGGCAAAATCTGATGTCTATAAAACCTTTCTGAATTTCAAAGCCATGGTTGAAAATCAGTTTAATAGAAAGATCAAAGCCATGCAAACAGATGGTGGGGGAGAATATCAATCCTAGTCCACTTGCTTTCAAGAAAATGGGATATTGCATAGAATGTCATGTGCCTATACCCCATAACAAAACGGCTTGGCAGAAAGGAAGCACATGGATATAGTTAATATGGGGTTATCTCTCTTAGCACACTCACATCTGCCACTTTGCTATTGGGGTGATGCCTTCATTACTGCAGCATATCTCTTGAACAGGATACCCAACAAGCCATTAAATTTTAAAACTCCACTTGAAGCTCTGCATGGGCATAAGCCAGACTATAAAAGACTGAAAGTCTTTGGGTGCTTGTGCTACCCCCATCTCAGACCATACAACAGACATAAAATGGAGTATAGGTCTTGTGCTGGAGTTTTTCTTGGTTACAGCAACTAGGGGTGTGCATAATTCGACCAAAATCGAAAAAACCGACTGAAACCGACCGAACCGAAAAATTCGGTTCGGTTTTTAGCAAAATCGGTCGGTTTTCGGTTTTAGTCAAATTATTTTTCGGTTAATTCGGTCGGTTTCGGTTTCAGGCATCAAAAAATCGAATTAACCGAACCGACCGAAATAATATATATAATATACTATACTTAATATACTATACTTATATATATAATAAATCATAATAATATATATTATATTTGATAACCCTAGATCTTAAAACACTCGTTCGCTTCTCTCTCATTCTCGCAGACTCCCCGCAGTCGCTCCTTTGATTCTTTCCTTTCTCCAAAATTGCTGCTCTTAACTCGTCCCCAATCATCTTCTCCTCCAAAATCACACTCGTTCGCCTCTCTCCCTCTCTCACAGTCTCACTTTCGCAGCCTCGCAGTCGCTCCAATCATCGCCTGTACCTCGGCCCCAAATCGTCCGCGTCTGCTTCGGTCCGGTCAAGAATTGACGCCGGTGCTCGACTTGTCGGTCGAGGGCGTTGACCTTGGAGTTGGAGGTGCCGCCTTTCCGTGCACACGGTTCACCATCAAGGCCCAACAGATTTTCGTCTCCCTCTCCATCAAAGTATATTTTTTTTTGTCTTTCCTATTTTTTTTTTTAATTGAGGACGAAGGAGATGGAGCAAATTTTTCTTTTCGTCTTCCTAATTTTTTTTTCGTTAAATGGTTCACTTTAGTCTGAATATTCTATAGATTTCTTGTTAGGATATGCCCACTTTTTTTTTTTCTTAAATGGTTCACACTGCAGTAGTTAAAACTGCACACCCAAACATAGTTAAAATTTGCTCCAGCTCTAACATATCTGCCTAATAGATAGTAAGTCGAAGAGGTCGAAATTGCGTAGATCCCACTTAAGAGACTTAATCCTCATTTGAGACTTAATTTTTCCTAATCCTTGTTGTAGATGTCAAGCCAAGAAAAAATGGACGAAAGCACGGGACCGATAGATAATGCCCCAAATGAGATACCAACTTAACCTGGAGATACATCAGAAGTTACAGGACTTGGGCTGCTGTTTTTATTATTTTTATTTTGGACTTGGACTTGTTGGATTTGGAATTGAAAAATAAGTTGGATGTGTTTTTAGGTTGTATTTTTGTTGTTGAACAGTTGTGTAAGTGTTTGGGTCCAATGAAAAGGCCCATATGTTTGGGCCTAGTAAACAATCCACAAAAAAATTGTTTTTTTGTAAAAATTCAGTTAACCGACCGAACCGACCGAAATATTTCGGTTTGGTTGTACTTCGGTTTTGAGCAATATTTCGGTCGGTTCGGTTTTTGTCATATTTTTATTCGGTTAATTCGGTTTTTGTAGTTCGGTTCGGTCGGTCGACCGAACCGACCGATGAACACCCCTAACAGCAACCAATATAAAGGATACAAGGTTCTATTACCTAACATGAGGATCATAATCGCAAGAGATGTGGTGTTTGATGAATCAAAGTTTCCATACCAAGAAAAAGAAACCACTCAAGAAAAACCAGATAAACCATGCAGTGTGCCAAACATTCCTATACTAGCTAAGGGACTGCAAAGAAATCAACAGGAAAGACAAGAGGCCACCTCACAAGACAGAAATTTGAGTCAAGAAAGACAAAACAATGACCTTAGTGAAGAGGAAAATTTAGCCCTCACAACAGCAATGTAACATCCCTCTCAGTTAATAAGTTAATAACAAAGTTAAAATGCCAAGAATTAAGTAATTTCGAAGTCAAGATATGCAGTTATTGGCTCGGAATTAAGAATTTATCAAAGAACAAGTCACATGAGTCGTGTGAAGAGTCACACGAGTCGTGTGAAACCACACGAGTCGTGTGGAAAGACAAGAAGATGAAAGTTAGCTTCGGCTTTTCCACACGAGTCGTGTGGAGCCACACGAGTCGTGTGACCTAGTCACACGAGTCGTGTGACCTAAAGTCAAATTGAATTAGTGAGAGTCCGATTGGGACTTTATCCAAAGGAAATTTCTAAGTATATAATATGTTTGGAGAGTTGAATAAGTTGATCATAAAATATTTTATGATTATTTAAAGATATAAGTTACATTTGTTTATTATGATCCATAATTCACTCTATTTGGATGTTTGTCCAAATTGTGCCTATAAATAGAGGCATAAAAATCAGAGTTCTCACACCAAAGTATCAAAAGATATAAAGAGAGAAAGAGAGATAAGTAGTGAGAATTTTGAGAGGAGTTGAAGTAAGAAGCTAGGAAGAAGTTCGGTTCTAGCAGGAAGGAGGTAATCTTCTTACCTTAAAGATTTATGATCAAGTTCATGTTTTGATAAAAAGTTTACATGTTTATAGGTATGAATATCATAATGGAGAAGTTAAATTTATAATTGATTATGTGAATAAAGAGTTAAAGTTGTTCAAGATCAATTATATGATATATGTGTTTGATTTGATGAGATGTTAATGAAGATATAAATAATTTGGAAAAGTATGATTTATATGAATGATTCTTATGTGAAAGAGGAGTACATGAGAACAAGAATTAAGAGATTTGGTAAAGTATAACTTGAGTTATGAATAATTGAAGATGAACATGCAAGATGAGGATTATGTTCACTATTAAAGTTTTCATAACTTGATGAATATGCATGATAAGATTATGAAGTTTTGAGGATATGTTTAATGATAAGATGAGATTATGACTATTAAGTTTCATAAGTTTAAAGATGAGAAATGAATAAGTTATGAAGATAAGAAAGCATATATGTAAAGATGAGTATATATGTGTAAGAATAGTCATAATAAAGTTAAGTTGTTAAAATGAGATGATGATGAGTAAATTTCATATGAATGATGAGTAATTTTCATATGCATGATGAGTAATTTTCATATGAATGATGAGTAATTTTCATATGAATGATGAGTATTTTTTATATGAATGATAAGTAATATGGTGAAATTTGATATAATATATGAAGTATACAATTTTGTAAAGATTGTATTAAGTATGATATATTATATCATGAGAAAGTTAATGAGAAAATGAGATGAGTAAAGATGATTATAGTTGAGATTATCATGAACAATTCTCATAAGTGATGAACAATTTGATAAAGTTTTAGTGTAATATGTTGAGTATACAATTTTATAAAAATTGTTTTAAATCTCACATATTAAGAACATGATGAGGAAGTTGAGTATGATATGATTATTTTCACTTTTAAGTTAATTAAGTGAAAAATAGGTCAATATCTAAAGTTTGAGAAGTATGATGTATGATTAAGTACTTGATTGAGTAAAAGATCAAGTTAAGGTGAGTTATAAACCATGATGATGATGATGATGGTAAAAAGTAAGTACTCAATCAAGTATAATGTGAAAGATAGTTATTTTCATATTTGAGTTATAGCGTGTTATGAAACATATTGATGTTTAAGAAGATATGTTTTATAAGGTTAAGTAATTAACTTTGAGTAAAAGTAAAAAGAGAAGTTAAGTATAAACTTGAGAATAAGCAAGTTTAAGAATGGGATAAGTTAATAATCTTAAGAACTTATTGAGTATACGAGCATAGTACTTAGTATATTTGTCTATATTTGATTTAACTTGCAGATACAGTACCAGTACAGCACTTATCGAGTTACAAACGATTTCAAAGATGAAAAGGTGGGGACCCTGAACGGGTATTACATTGAGTACGATATGTGATTGGGATGAGGAGACCATCAGTTGTCTCAAAAGTTATATCCTGAAGTTAAGGTTTATTACGCTTGGGATGAGGAGGCATTAATTTGTCTCATAAGATTATATCCTAAGTTCTGGTGGAGGCGAAACGGGCCTTAGAAATATCCATAAGAGTGTGCACACGTATCCGATTAACCATCGGCCAGAGAAATGAAAGTTTAAGTTTAAGTTACTGATCAGATATCGGTTTATGATTATTCATATTCGTTACTCACCCCCATAAGTTTTAGTTTCAGGTAACGGGTTAACGAGGAGGTGTGAGTGTAGCTGTGTTGATGTGGATCGTGGAAGCAAATGAAGATAAGATCTAATATGGACATTTATAAAAGTTGTATATTTAACCACGTTTCAAGTATTTCCGCTATGCAAAGTAATTATTGAACTTGCATTTTAATGAATTTTAGATTTAAAGTTTTTATAATTATGATAATTATGTTTATGGTATTTTAAATGCAAGTTTAAATGAAATCTGTTTTTATGTTTCAAAGAGGTATTAAATGATAGTTAAAGATAAACAGATTTTCAAGAAGATAAGTTGAGTAGCATCCCGAGTTAGTCTCAAGTATTTCGAAAAAGTTAAAGTGATATTGAAGTAAAAGGTTGCGAAAATTTTACTCTGATAAGCGGGGTGTTACAGGTGGTATCAGAGCCAAAAGTTTAAATGCTCTGCATACTAAAAGTTAAAGTTTCTGAAAGAGAAAGTTTTCAGAGAAGTTCAAGTTTTACAGGAAATTTCAAGAAAACCTGACCACACTACGCTCACACCTCGTCAACTACCAGGTAAGTGCTGTTTAAAGTTTTATACAAGTTTTTCAATATATTCAAATTTACTAAGTCTATGTTCAATAAGAAATCAGATGTACAAACTCTAGTAAATTGTACATATATGTTCAAGTATTAAAGTGAAATCTAGTTTATCAAGTTAACTAGATCAAGAATATGAACTTGAACATTTCAAGTTAAGCCATAAGAATAAGATTCAAGTTATGAAATGATCATAAAGATGAAGATGTAAAGATGAGATTTAAGTTATGATATGATCATAAAAGACTAAAGATATACGAATGAGATGTAAATTATGATATGATTATCAAGATTTACAATGAGATTCAAGTTAAGAAATGATTATAAAGATTGATGAGAAATTTAAGCTAAGATGTAACGGTATTTTAGTATATAATAGCCAATACGTACGGGAAAAGATCATGGAGGTTTGAAATAAGAACCAAAAGACCGGATCAGATTCTGTAGGCTTGAAAACTAAACTGTAAGAAGTAAAGTTACAAGAAAATGTTCAATCTTTATAAATCAGAACTTTTAATATCTGATCATTTGGATATCATGAGTTGAAGTAAAGTTCAAGATGAAGTTATAAGTTATTAGTACTTGTAGAATAAGAATAAGTTTACAGAGTACTTTCCAGAAATGAATGAGTATAAAGATTAAGGTATCGACATATAGTAGTCATGAAGCCGGGGAAATTATGGAAACCTGAAATAAGGGTTATTAAGTCCGAATTACCTGGAAACTTGAAATCGAACCTTAAAAGATATTAGAAATAAATTCCAGATACCGAGATAAGTATTTAAGTTTCTCGGAAGAATTTTAAAGATAAGCAAGATTAATCTGGATATGTAAAAGTTAAAGTTAATAAAAGACTAAGATGTTTCTTTGGAGGAAATATCAGTCCCCAAAGAGAGATAAGTATAAATGATGAGTTTAAAGCCATAAATAAGAAATGGCGAGAAGAAGCAAGAAAAGATAGATTAACCGGAACTCTAGCACAAGCTAGGTGTTTTCGAAAAATTAACAATTTCCTTAAAGTTTGGTATAACTATTTATTAATGGTTATACTGTGCAAGTTATGAAGTTAGTGGTTTTGGAATGCCGAGAGGCAAGGTTTTAAGACCACAACTGAGTAAAGTTTAAGAAGTTTAAGATCTTGATTAAATTAAGAAGTTAATGCAGTCAGAATCGAGTAGTATTGATGTGTGAATCAAGTTTATTCGAGTAGAGAATATTTTACACAATCAATCTACTTGATAACAAATTCCAATATTATGGAAAGTCAAAAGCAAGACAAGGATATAAGCACTGTTGAGAAATTCCTAAGAAGCTAGTACAGTAATATCCGAGAATGAGATACCGATAAGTATAAAGGAATTCTCAACTAAGTACAAAGTAAAGTACAAAGTTATAGTACATAAAGGGAGGGTGCGTCTCAAGAGCACAAGACTCCATAACTCTGCCACCCAGCATGGCTGTAGTTCATAATGAT